AATTGATCAATTATCCAAATAATTATTGGTCCAAAAAGATCATTTGCAACTCGTTACTATTGATTATAATAAATTATTCGCCTCAGTCCTTGATTTTCTCGAATTTCGGTTTCATGTAAATCTTGTTTTCTTTGTAATTCATTATTTTCATATTATCTATATTTACTCATTCTTTCATTATTTGGTCCGATTTTTTAACAGGTGGTATCGGAGCTTTTGATTTTGAAATTCATGGAAATATCGAGATTTTGATCAAGTTAATAGCTCTACTTGATTTTTCATGAAGACAACTATGAAGTTTGATGTTTCACTATTGAATCGTAGTACAAGATTTTTGTTGTGGCAGATTGGGAGGTGAGCATTGCTTACTTATATGGGATTGATTTTGTTGTGCTTTTTGCTCGTTTCATATTTGTTGTTTAAAGAGATGATCTTATATAGTCGTGATCTCACTATTGAAGAGGTCTATGCTATTCTATTTTCAAATGAGAAGATAAAGATATTGTTGAGGTTCATGAAGATGACATAGTTCTTGATGGTGGTTGTGTAGGGGGTCAAATTAAGGTCTAACTTCCAAATTTATTGCAAGAATTCAGGACACTTAATTAAGGATTGCTATAAGTCGTAGAATAGTGAAAATTTGGCTACGATTTTTCAGAAAGGAAAGCAATTAGATGCTTCAGATGAAACCATTGTTGCAGAAACTTCTCACTATGATGGAGAACTTTTATTTATTTCTAATTACAACTCCAAATTTGATGAGGAATGGATTTTTGATATAGTTTGCACTTTTTATATGTCACCCGATCGAGATTTATTTTCAAAGTGTTGCGATAACTAGTAATAATACACCTTGTCAGATAGCTGGTATTGGTTGTGTCATTTAAAGATGTTTGATGGAGTAGTTAGAACACTTGATGTAGTGAGACACGTTCCAAATTTGAAGAGAAATTTTATTTCCTCAAGTACTCTTAATTTAAAATGGTACAAGTATACTGTTAAAGGTGAGTTTTGAAGATTAGTAAAGGAGCCTGTGTTTTGATAAAGCGACTTTGAAAATCCCATTTTATATATCTTGTAGTGTTTTACAGAAATTTTGAGTAATCAGCACATTTTGAGAACTCGGGTAGATTTAGAGTTGGCTTCTATAACACCATTAGAGTCTAATTTGAAGTCTTCTTTCAAGAATACATCTCAGTTAAATTTTGATAATATAAGTAAATCCATCTTGCCACCATTATTGACGATGTCATCGTATTCAAATTCTACATAGGTACAATTATATTGATTTTGTTGATGGTTTGAATGCGGTTAAAAGTGTTTATTCTAGTTAAGATCCTTCTTTTGATGTTTTCAGTTGTGATGATTTTGTTACGGTACTTGTTTCAGCCTTATATGGTGATTATTAATCACGTTTTTTTTTGTTGGTTGTGATTCGAGCAATTTTGGTGTCCAAGGTATTTCTTAGAATTTTGTTAATACGCAATTATTGAGTTTTGCCCTAGTTGGGGCAGCGAAAGCTGAGAATATTTTCA